ATACACACACACACACTGAAAGTTTCGACCTAAGCAATCTCTTAGCTGCACATCCTATAACCTATAAAGCCATCTATAAATAGACTCAGTATAGTCGGATCTGGTCGCGCGCAGTTTTGAGTTCTCAGCATCAGCACCAGCATCAGCATCAGCATCAGCACCACTGGACAGGTTTTTTTTAAAAATCCTACCAGTAATATGCATCTGATATGACTTGCATGCAAATAACCAAAGCAAACAGCACACACTTGATTGTGAATTGTAGATTTCTTTAATAAATAGGCTAGCTATGGTTTTATCCATCTGACCCACTTCATAAAAATAAAAAATGGAGCCTCTTGAGCGCTTGAGGTCCCATCAGAGGATTGTTTGGTTTACGGGAAGGTTGCGATGGAAACAGTTGCTCAGATTGCAGCAGGATCAGTTTATTAGTGTCTGGATGATCCTGGTTAATCAAGATCGCAGTAATATTTCTATTTCTATTGATTTATCAACCTTCTCCCAGGTTATATTCTGGCTGTCATGCTGAGGTAACACTTTAATTTCCCTCTGAGGGATTAACAGAAGTTTATCTTATCTTATCTTATCTTATCTCACCTTATCTTATCTTATCTCATCTTATCTTATCTTTTAATTTGAGAATAATATTCTGTAATAACAGCTTCTTTTCACACCAGCACTTAAGCTCTTAAAATTAAAGGTGGAATTAAAGGTTCTGTACTGCACTGCTTCTCAAAGTGGGGTCTGTGATTTTTATTTATTTCATTAAAGTGGTAGAAATCACAAACCAGCATTCTCATTATCAAGTTATACACTATTTCGGTTATTATACACTCCCAGAAAAAAGTACTAACCTGTACATTTTTGTTGATAGTGTGGTACTATCAAGCTTTAGTGTGTGTGTGTGTCTTTCACCTGGAAATATGCATGTAGTTTACCTTTAAAGCATTCATCTAAAAGCTAATTACAGGTACAAGAGTGGTCCTTAAGGTCCAATTATGTACCGTAAATCATGTTGAGCTGTACACTACATTGTACATGTAATAAAGACACACTAAATATACAAAAATGTGTACTCTAGACGGTATCACCCCAGTGAGAAGAAAGAGTGAGAGTGTATTTATTGTTATAATTATTATCCTGTTTGTTAATCCAAACCTCAATAATTAACAAAAAATAAGGTCTATAAATGTTGTATATATGTTTCAATCCAGTAATAGACTAAAATATGTTCAGTAGGTCAAACGTTTAGGAATTAAAATCTTTAAGACTTTCAATAAATAGCCTAAATATCATTGTAGGCATTTAAATAATGTTTATGAAATGAATCCAAGGTGATCCGTGGAAGTTATTTAACATTAAAGGTGTCCCTGGCTGCAAAAAGTTTAAGAGAGACACAGAAGAACTATGTTTCATTTCTTAAAGAGTCTTTAGGGATGAGTTATGTCTTTAAAAAGGCTGTTGAGGGGTTGTAATGTTTAAAAGGCTGTTATGTTAGGTTGTAATGTGAGTCACATTGTTCAAGACTAGTTTTATACACTACACACAGAAAGACTTTTATATATACATCATACATACATACATACTGTATGTGTGTGTGTGTGTGTATATATATATATATATATATATATATATATATATATATATATATATATTGCTTTATACTTATTTGTCTACCAAAAAAATGAGGGTCATAACTTGTGTCCATATTTTCCCCTATCAGTGCGTATAGATGAGATAACAGCTATCATCATGTCCGAACCGTTTATAGTGTAATATCTGAAGAGAGCTCTAGATCGGCTGGAGATTCCTTTTGTAATCGATCGCTGGTGTAAGATTCCCGTATCTTCCAGAGAAATACGAACGCACCATTGTGTGTGTAACATCATTTGCATGATGATGAATTATATTCATATTAATATTTAATATTTTAGAGGAATTAACATCATGTTTATAATGATCACGTTTATCAATATCTTTTTTTTTTTTAATTTAATCAAAGAAATTGATTAAAAGAGGCCACTATTACTTGAATTTGAGTTGTTACAGATCACCATGTGTCTAGATTTCACAAAACACTGCAGGCATCCTGACAAAATGCACCAGAACACTATTTTTGTAGGCTGCGCTGAATAGAAACACTGAAAGCCGGAGTATACGACAGTAACATGGGCCTCTGAGCAATCAGACCTATCAGTTTTGGCTCTGTGAGTTACAGCAAATGGATGGGATTCAATGTGACCTTTGTGATGAGGCTGTGTGTGTAACTGGAGTACATTTGTAGTCTTTCTCTTAGAGACTCTTTCACTAATGTATTACCTCAGTATAGCCTGATTAATAAACAGAACTGATTGGACTAAAGGACATCAACCTACACACTTCCTGACTATGAGGCTGTGAATGAAATTTCATGTGCAATGTAATAATTTAATCATTTAAAATCATTTAATGCACTTTGACATTGTTCGATTAGAACTTTGAGTTAATGCATCTCTGACTATGTAATTATCCTCCCACCCGGATCAGTCCCCTACTTTACTGTGAGTAGTGAATTTACACAAAATTATTCTAGCTGTTCTGTGTGTTTAAAGTGCACAAGCTCGAAATGTCAAGACTGTGATTGTTCATTAAGACTAATATTGAACAGCTTCTATATCTGGGCTTTATATGTCAGTTAGTAAATAAATGTTAGAGAACACTCATGGTATTGAAGTCCAAATGTGGGTTCGAACCCCTGCTGAATCTTGGTGCCTGCTGCACTACACACACTGGCCAAGGCGCAATCTGGCTTAACGGTTTTTAATAACTAGATTAATTAGCATGTACGGACAACAGACAATCTTTTCATATTCAGGAACATGCAGTTTTATGGAAACACACTGATGAAACTGTGTACAAAGGCATTATGTGACTCACTTCAGGGTCACCTCAGGGTCACCTCAGGGTTAAATATATTAAGAGAAAATGAAGATGCCAGACTCAAACGGGGAGGTGAGGACACTGCAGCTCATAGCTGAAAAGCTGCCCAAAGAGTTTGTCGAGGCCGCAAACACAATGTGCTACATGATCATATATATTTGTTTTCCTTAGTCTGTATTAACACACTTATGTAGCTTGCTATAATTGCTAAAATGATATCTGTAAAAGGACAATGAATTAATAATCATTAATCAGTCAGCACAAGGTGTTGCATAATGCCCATGAAAATAATCCCAACTGAAAGAAGCTAGTAGCTAGCTAGGAGTAAAGTGGTAATAGAATGTTGGCAAAATAATAATAAAAATATTATTCTGTACCATAGTGCTACATGATTCTTGATTAAATGGGAATAACAGTTTTCTGGTTTGGAGATCATGATTGTCACTCAAATCTTTGACCAGTTTTCTTTTACTTTATTCCGTTCTTACATTACTGTAGCAGAGTGTACTAGCTCGACTTTCCTACCCTAAGTCAAAACCTGAGCACAAATAATATATAACATAAAACTTTAATCATATTAGGGTGCAGTAAGCAGTGTGTCCTCCCAAAGGTTAAAGGAAAGCAGAAATATTAACAGCTGGGTAAATAATTAGTTGGTTGTTTCTGATCTTTGGACCGTAGTGACTCATACGCCACTCGTAGGAGAAAATCAGAGTTGATAAATGCACTCTATGCATATGCATAAAGCTCACTGGCGAGTTTGGAGTGAGACGGAGCATACAGCCATGACTCACTCGCCTCATTCATTAATTGAGTAATGGGCAATTTAATATTCAGTATGTAATATTAAACGTCCGGGACAAATTTATTACTTCTTACTGCAATGTTGTTTCTCCCGTAGACTCACCAAGCTTCAGGTACGTCAGGTCATGTGGTACAGCATCTATACCGATTGGTCACAGTCAATAAGGAGAAATAAGGCTGCTCTGTTTTATGCAAATGCTACAGAGCTGAAGTTGTTTTTTTAATCAAATTGTAAAGTTTTTAATGTGATTTTAATACAATTTTGTGTTCAGCCCTATAGTACAGTGTGTGCTTTGAAGACGCAAAAAAATTCAGTGTGGGAAAAAGAACGAGAAGAGGTGGAAACTGATTAAAGGCTGCTTGTCACCTAATGTCTGTCATCCACCTAAAATGCATGCACTCATCATGTACTAATTTCTAGCTACACCACTGAGGCAAAGTAGTACACAGAGGACATAGATGGCACAAATGTGAAATTATTTTAAGAAATGGTCCTGGTAATATGCAAGAAAATTTGTTTTTAAAAAAAAGGCAGTGTAGTAAATCCCTCACCCCTGTCCTCTTACACACTCCTGGGCTCTTAAATATACAGCTGTTTAAAACAAATTAAATTGTAGTTACGTTAGCTTTCTGTGACTCACCCTGAAGGCTTGTACAGTGTATTAGGATGTTTATGCCAGAATTTACAACCCATTAGCCATGTTCCCTTTTTGTCTTAAACCATTAAATGGCTCATTTACATCATTTATCATTAATTAGATCTAGCTGTTTGACTTCGAAAGTGCTTAAAAATCGCAGAATGCTTTTTGGGTTGAGTGTTTAACAGAACTGCAGCTCGGCTCAGGTCCAAACTGAGAGCAGCACAGAGAGAAACGCTAACGCTAAACCAACCAAAAGATCGCAGGAGAAGCTGTGCCATTCAGACAGAGATAACGAACATCAGTCCTGATCATGTCGCCTAATACATCACATACACTTTATCAGTGTTATCATGATATTATTTTATGGTTATCTGTAGTCTTAGTTTAATAGCAAAAAAGCAAGCTGACTAGCACAGCTTGCTAGCTAACAAACTAACACTGTCTAGCAAACGACGCTGGCTGGCTTAGCTGAAGTTAATCTTTGGAACAATACTTTTGTTGATTTATGAGCAAGGCTGCTTTCATACATAGACGTTACGGCATTTAGAATTAATGTATCTATTTAAAAACGATTACAATATTAATTTTTCTTTTACATATTTGACAGGAAAAGCCTATTTGAATTGTTTAGGGGGGGGCACGGTAGCTTAGTGGTTAGCACTGGTGCCTCGCACCTCCAGGGTGGGGGTTCGATTCCCACCTCTGCCCTGTGTGTGTGTGTGTGTGGAGCTTGCATGTTCTCCATGTGCTTAGGGGGTTTCCTCCGGGTACTCCAGTTTCCTCCCCAGTCCAAAGACGTGTTGTAGGCTGATTGGCATCTCTAAATTGTCCGTAGTGTGTGAATGGGTGTGTGAGTATGTGTGCGATTGTGCCCTGCAGTGCATTGGCACCCCATCCATGGTGTCCCCCACTCTGTGCCCCAAGTGCCCCCTGGGATAGGCTCCAGGTTACCCCGCGACCCTTTATAGAACAAGCAATACAGAGAATGGATGGATGGATGGATTTGTTTATGATCTACTTTTAGTTTTGTAACGTGAAGTCTAAACTTTCAGGCTAATTTTGTTTGTATCACTTGATGAAGGAAAAAAGGCTCTGAATAACTACATCATCTTTTCATGTATTTAAAAAAAAATCAGATACTGTGTATAATGTGTATGTAGAATGTATCCAAAAGTTTACATGTAAGTCGTTAAATTCCAACTGGCACTAACTGGAGGGTTTTCCCCCATTTTCTCCCCAAGTTGTTCATCTGCCAATTCCCACCCACCAACCTGCTCTCTCCTGTCACACAGCAGCTACCAGTCAGGGAGGGTGAAGGCTAACACGTGCTTCCTCTGAAACATGTGAAGCCAGCCAAACGCATCTTTCCGAACTGCTGCTCATGCTGCGTCACAGGGCAACGTGACACATCCAGAGGAAAGCGCTATCTGGCCTTTTCCACAGACATGAGCTCACAGACACCCACGGTTGGTTTGTGTCACTGTGATTGACAAGGGAGAGAGAGTATGCTGTCCCTCCCACCCAGAGAGCACAGCCAGTTTTGCTCTCTTAGACCTCTGGCCACAGCTGGCTGAATCTCAAATATAGGTATAAAGTGCACTCAGGATTCTACAACACCATTATTTTAGATTCTGTGTAGTGAGTGTATACAATAAATCAGGATTTTCTTTGCTTAAGAAAGTGACACAGATTTCACCTTCCATATTGTATGATATGAGTGCACTTTGCAGGAGTGCTGCTAACGTTTGTTCCATCTCTTCCGGTATAAAATGAAATGATCATCAATATTCAAATGCTTATAAATACTAGGCAATATTTTTAAGTAATCAGAATTCAGGTGCAATATACACACGACCCATTTCAGTCTGCGCTCTGTGTATGGGTGTGTGTGTGCGTGTGTGAGATGCATTTTCATATTTCTTTAAATTCTCCTGTGGCTTCCTCCTGTCATGTCACTCCAATGCTGAAATGCTGCTTTCTGGTGTTTGTGTGCTTGTAATCTGTGTTCCTGACAAATACATGTACACCTCAAACCTGCAGTGAATGAAATCAGGCCACAGTGCTACAGCAGAGATGATAAATATGAGGTGGATTACTGCAAAACTTAATGTGGTTGGAATCTGAGTGAGCGAGAAACTGCACCGAGGAGAGTCAGTCAGTAATAATCAGATTTGCACACACACACACACCACAAATGCAGTAGGTACATGAGAGTACATACTTGCAAGTTATGAGACTTGGGTTTGGTGAGGTGTGGCTGCTTCTAAAAAAAAAAAAAGAAAAAGCTGGTTGATACATTTGAGACAATTCTACACCTACACACATAGATACACACATAGTCTTAGCAGTGATGTAATACCAGCACTACGCTCTTAGAAATAAAGGTACCAAACTGTACTTTTCCTTGTTGCTAATGTGGTACCATGAAGGGGACATGTTTTGTATCTTTAGAACAGTAGATATCTTTTACCTGTAATCCTTTAAAAATAATTGAAGGTATATAATTAGACCTTATGGATCACTATTCTAAAAGCTAAATAAAGGGATCACTTTCTCAGGTAAAAGATTTTGTACACTAATTAAGGGTACCCTTAATAGTACCACCCTATCAGTAAGTATAGAAAAGTATAGTTTGGTACTTTTTATCCTGGTAGTGTAGCATAGTGGTGTTCGTGGTGGCCTCTTGATAGAATGCTAGCTTCGCAGTTCATTACACCATAGCTACACGATTAGGAGAAAAGTATTGTTATTTCCACACACTTCCCCAGAGCGAAAATAATTTCGATGATTAATTGAACTTTGTTAGACTTACATTTATGTTTATGCTACTTGGCAGGCCCTCTTATTACGAGCAACTTACAAAAACAATTCTGTAGCGGGGGAGCAAATCTGTAGCTTGGGCACCTGGGACAGTTTTTTATTTGTTTTTTTTTTATTGGAACGATCTGGCTGACAGTAACATGGTTTTTACTAGGTGGATTAATTAGCATGCATAGATGACAGATGACCTGTTCAAAATCAGGAACCCACAGGTTTTATGCTAGCTGCCATTTTTTAGCCTGGTCATTAAGATTTCCTGGCAATCATGACACAGGACTGGGCAAGTACATTTGAGTTAGATAATGAATTTATGATTTGTTCACCTATCAAATTTGAATGCTAGTGCCAAGACGCATCAGTCTAAAGATACCAACAAGCTAAAGACACCCCTTATAAGAAAATACACAAAATTTAAGTAAGTCTCAAAATTTTAAGACAGTAAGGGGAAGATCGTTTCACCACCTGGGAGCCACAAGAAGAGTCTTCTTTGTACCTTGAAGGGGGTTCAGTCAAGCTGAGCCATACTTGTGTCTTGAACAGAGGTTGACCATTACCATTAGGTATGGGGGGCTAGTGCATTTTCATCTTTGTAGGTAAGCATCAGTGTTTTAAAACGAACATGGACAGCTACAGGAAGCCAGTGGAGGGAACTCAGCAGTGGCATAACTTGAAGCATTATTCGGACTTAATGCAGCAGTGAAGTCTCGGTCGATCACTTGAAGGGCCTCCATGGAGGAAAATGGTAGAATCCTCCTGATGTTGTACAGCAGCAAACGTGTTCATAGAACAATAACTGACCATCAAACACCTTTCAGAAGGTCTGATCAGTGAGCTCTCAAAGGGGACAGAATGGAGATCAAGGCCTGGTCATGCATTTCCTGCAATATAAAGCAGCTCAGTCTTTCTGCGATTCAGATTTAGGTGACAAGCTGCCATCGGTAATGAGATGTCTGGCAGACATGATGATATCATGTCATCATGTATCAACCTGGAGAGGATGACTTGGGTGTCATCAACATAACAGTGGTAAGAGAAACTATGTGGCGATATTACATCACCAGGAGAACAGGTGTATAGAAAAAAGGGGCCCAAGCACCGAAACTGGTGGAATGTCTGCGTAGATCAGATGTATAAGCCAAAAGAGTGTGTGTGTGTGTGTGTTTTCCAGAAAATCTCTTACACTGTCAGTATTTATCATGTTGTCGAAAGCTGAAAGTTAGCGCGCAGTGCTGCTTAGCTAAAAATAGACAGTTGTTTCAATTAGTTCTGTCAGCAATGCCATGTTTTTCTATGCATTTGATAGTCGTTGTTTATTATAAAGTTATGAAGATGCTAGGAGTGGCACCAGAGGTAGCAAAGTAACATGTTTACAACAGTAAAGCATTACACAGCAAAAGGGTTTCTAGTGCAGTCGCACCCCCTGTGCAGACAAACCGAGGCTGCTGTCGTGTGATTGTAGGGCGAGTCCAGAGGGAGGAGGTTGTGAAATCCAACCTACATTTTTTGGGGCGTCACATCCAGACACAAAACGGATACAAAATGGGTAGAACGTAATAGACAGAAACGCATTTTAATTAGTATAGTAAGTATAGTAAGTCAACGGCGTGGTAACCATCCAATCATACACCATGACTAACCATGAAACCATGTGACTGTAATGACCCTAGTTGTGATGTCACATTGTTTTGCACCTTGGCTTGTGCAAAAATATCATTTCTGGTGTCAGAACTGCACATATGTCACTTCACTTATTTCCTTATACTCAAGTAGGGAAACCTTTGAACACACACACACACACACACACACGCAGAGCTGCAGGCCTCTTTTGAAACTCCATGCAGTGCCTCATAGAGATAGAAGTAGCTCACTCTTTAAACTACATTAATTCCCCAGTGGAAGTGTTTATGAAGGGCACAGGCCAATATTGACTCGCTAATGCTGTTCGGGTTGCTAAGAGCCTTGTGTAACGTCCGTGATGATTCAGTGTGAAATGACCTGCCTCGAGTGAGTTACTTAGACGTCCGGCTGCTTCACGCTTGGTTTGAGTGGCGTGGAGGATGTTGTCAGTACTCACAGTAATACGCTGAAGAGCTTCATTACGGAGAGGCTCGATTGGAGAGGATGGGCTAAATGAACTTCAGAGAGTCCGCCATTCAATTCAAGTGCTGCTGTGGGCGGAGAGAGAGAGAAAGAGAGAGAGAGAGAAAAAAAAAGGGTAGCCGCTTTTATATCTCTACAATCATGAAAGAGCTCCGGTTGTGTCCTTGAACAAGACTCATCTCCCCTGAGAGAAGCTTTTTACTTCCATCTCCTGTATCTCTCTGCCTTCTCTCCTACACCATGTTGCTTTATCTCTCTTTCCATTTCTGTCTTCCTTCCTTCTCTCTATCTTTTTGCACTCTTTCTCTATCAGTCCAATCAGAAATTATTTGCTACTTCCGCAGGGCTCAGGCGATACACAGGAAGAGTGGGAAAGAGTGAAGAAGCAGGAAGGGAGAGAACATTTGAGTGAGAATTAGAGATAAAGGAAAACATAGATGTGCTTCCGTCCATCGCAGCGTTTATCAGGAGTGACTTGTGCAGTAGCGGATGGTGCTAAACCTCTTTTTGAGCTGCTGTTAAGATATCTGGTTGTTAGATGTCGTATTTTTTGTTAACTCAGTCAAACAGATACACTGTCTACACTGTCTAGAGTATTTTTCCAGCTTGTCTCTTGTGGGTGAGAAGCAACTGTTAAAACTGTTTTTTGCTCATAGACTTGTTACTGTCCAACTGTTTTTAGGTTTTAATAAGCTTTTTTTTTTCATTTCTATCAAAATATCATATGTACTCAAAGTATTTATTTTATATTTATTAGCTAGCTCTGAGAAATAAGTGGGAAAAAATAT